CTGTATGCCTTACTCCAATACAAATCAACTCGGTCATTGTAACTAAGTAAGCAGGCCTGAAACTATTTAAAGGACCCCTGCTTTACTCAAATATTTCAACAAACATATCAGAATTTATTTTATTGATGTTATATTTTTAACACATTGTTATAAAAAGTATTAACTTTTCAGCATAAAAAGATCAAAATTTGAAAGTAAGGGGCGCATGAAGAAAATAAAACTCGGCATAGATAGGTATAAATCATACGCCGGTAAAGTTATCGTCTGGTAATGCATCTTTTGTCGCTAGAAACAAGCGAAAAAAAATGATGTATCTCTTAAAAATATTTCGCACCGTCACCTTTTATATGGAATTTATAAGGTGTCAAGGTCATGAGGTAAAAAATGTTTTTAGTAGGGAATAAGACTTAAAATAAAAATAAGTGTTTTATATTCTGCTTTTAACCTTACGTGCCATTCGGTTCGAAACATTACACGGAATCGGCCAGGCCTCTCTCTGTACTATTTCGTTAATATAATCAAGATTTTAAAAATATATATACATGTAGGTTTAGAATACTTCCCCCACTAATCGCTGTGAAATACATTTATAACTTATAGTCACCTGTGTTAACGTTAATCTACACATCCTCTTCACGAGATGTATAAAGATAAACCAAAGATAAACCAGCTATATATAGTCTGGTGTACTCTATATATACTTGTATCATACATTAATATTACCTTGATATAAACTGATCAAAAAAATCACGCAAGCGTTTAGTACATAGGTCTATAACCATGTCAACGTTACATGTTTTAGGAATACTATAATACTATATATTTAATAGCTGTTGTTAAACTGCATCAAGAGAAAGATATTTTCTCCCATGTAACTTATGGACTTTATTCTAGTATATTTTACTTAAAACAACGAAACTTACTCAGCCCCACTCCAAACCGCAAGCTCTCAGCTTCTGATTCCGTTCGGTAGCGAGGCTATGGTTTCGGTTGTTATCTTCTGAGTATGGGCGCACTAACAATTATGTTGAGTTTAAAACAGGGACGAATGCACTTGTCAGTAGATCAGGCATTCTATTCAAAAGAAGGTAAAAATCAACAGGTAGTCGAACGATATTCTACCAAAAAATTAAGTAAACAAAGTTTCATATTATATACCTATGCATAGTGCTATGGTCGATATAATGACCTTGTCAGCAAATGCAATTTATCATTAAGTCAAATGCTAAATGACATTTTTCATACTAATTGTTAGGCTATTATTTACAAACTTAGTTTTCCAAGGATTTTTTCTCTTTTTTTTCCCGAACATGACCAGGAACACACGGCGGGTGTGACCGGTCGGCAGGGGATGCTCACTCCTCCATGGCACCTGATCCCACCTCTGATGTTTTAGAGGTCCGTGTTTGCTCCGCTCCTATTTTGTATTGTTTAATTGATTTTTGAGCTCGAATTCTGTTCGTTATCTCCACATACTTTATACCTGTATTCATCATTACGCTAAATAAAACCATCTTGTTTCCTTTAACGCACAGGGTTTATATCAGTATTTAAAATATCTTATTATTATTTGATATAAATATCTTTACTACTATCCGAAAAATTCTTTTCACCAAAGGGAGCTAGGCGGGTGTAAAGCAAAACTCAAGCAGTCAATCCAAAAACAGAATTTAAAAGTTATTTATGACTCAATCGCTCTACATAGAATCTGACTTTACATTCAAATCTCTCTCCTCCCTAGAAAAAAATAATAAGAAAAATAAAAAGATTTAAGGAACATTTTCAAAAGAACCTTGCCTATCATCTTAAATTGAGTTTGCATTATGTCTCAAAAAATGAATTTCGGCCATTGATAACGTCTGTCCTGGTTTAATAGATTAAGAAAATGATAGCAGACCATTATTATAGAGGCGAGAATTCGTAACTTACTGATGTTGTAGAGAGAAAGAAGATGAAAGTGAAGAAATCGGAACGCCATCGGAACGCAAACTACGTCACGGACTTCATTTACGTAAGTATTGAAAGTAGAACAAATTATAATCAGGCGCGCAGAATCCTTTCATATTTCACCTTGTACGAGAATCAGCTGTTTGAGTTCTAATCTTGTGATCTTTTTTTTCTCAATGAGAATTTTTTTTTACCAAGACGTGTTTTCTAGTATACACATAGTTTCTTTGCAATCAAATAAGGAGCGAATCTGTGCTATTTTTTTAACTGCTGGGATTATGCTCTTGCCTCACGCAGAGTCCATGAACGTCAGTTGAGTTTACTCAGTTGATGCTGGATAAGGCGCTGCCTGACCGTCCGAGCACGCCGGCGACAACTGAACAGATGTGAGATCCTAGAATCTTAATGAACAAGTCATGAATTCTCAGGTTACAAAATACATGTACACTCTTTCTTTAGTGTTCTTGTAATTGTTGGTAAAAATAAAATAAAACTTAGTAGTAACTTCTTTTAAAGAGATGTTTCATGTCTGTGGCGAAAATATATATACATATAAAAAAAAAAGAACTGCTGTAATATAGAGAGTTCATCCCTGCGTCATAACGAGCGCCCCGCCCACTCTGCTATAACTAGGTCTGGGATTTCTCAGTCCCTTGCACTATATGGCTTTCTTTTACCCGTTTATGGAACCAAAGGCATTGTTGATCTCACTGCAGCAGGAAAGTACTCTGTCGATCGGCAGGTTAGTTCGATTTAATACATTTTCTTTCACAGTGAAACTACCTTATCTAAAATTCAGATATACAGTACTTATGATAAATATCAGTCAAAAGGTTTTAAATTTAAAAAGAGATCTTAAAAATTGTAAAAACAGTACAGTATGAAAATGCTTAAGCTGGGGAAAAACATCAACAATAATAAACATCTCATTGAAATTCAGGCATTAGATGAACTCTTTTGATGTTTTCTACAAAAAATGTTTAAAGTATTTTTTCTTTCACTCTATTATACAGGTTAAATTAATATATACAAATGACCCCCCCTATGAATGGATGCTACAAACTGACAATAGTAATTAAAAAAAATTACGAAAAACGCTGCGCTTTATAAACACAGAAAAACCCACATTGAATGAATTACATTTAAAGTCAAGCGCGAATAATGATGTAAAATATAAACAGGTCAATTTATTCTGTATGTAAGTTACCAGGAATTCTTATAAAAGTGCAAACATGTATAACCAAAATCCCAGAGAGACTTGATGGTAGAGCTTTATACTTATACGTAATACATCATATTCAGTCACTCTTCATGATTGAATTTATATCACTCGGATTTAAATCAGCTGTTTAGATTGTAAAATGAATTAAAACTGGAATAACTTGGGGTGGGGGTAGGAGCTCTTAAAACTGGTTTTAATATTTCCATTTGGATGCATAAAGTGTATATCTAAAAGTGTATAATCTATATCATGCTATAGTCTCACACATTGATAGTCCGCATGTCGTGGTAACAGTTGTAGATCATTCATCTCATTTCTCAAAAATACACAGCAAAATTGTCGATAATTAAGTTTAAGAGGAAAACATTAAATGCCTGCTTAGTTATACATGGAACGCGACAAAATGTTTATGAACATGTCCTGTTTTTATCTTGTCAAACTGTCTTCTATCGATTTAAAAAATTGTCGAGAAGTTTTAAATTCTTGGTGTTCACAATTTGACAGATTACAAAGTGACTGTTGACATCCAAGGCTTTTATTTCTAGATAAATAGGTGTCAGCTTACAGCATTTTAAAATTCTAACCGTTTTCAATAGAAAGTTTCCGACATGATAGTTTAAGAACATTTGTGGTTCCTCCGGAGTACGTAACTTAGGTACGACTGTCATCACGTACTTTTCTGTTGCCTTATTTGACCTTTGGTGACCTTTGTGGAACGTTAATTTCTAGTAGACCTCCCCATCTCGTAATAAATTAATGATAAATAGATACTATATATATAATAATCCCCCTAATGTGGACCATATATTTCTTCACCGGGAGCCATGATTCGGCAGTTAGATGTTCAATGATACTGTTTAGACTCTGGATCTGTCAAACGCTATCAGATAAATCTAATAATTAAAGATATACACCGTACTAATCCCCGCTCTAATTGGCGGTGGGCATTCCTGTAAAAATTATCACCCTATAGGTCCCCCGGAACTTTATATACAAAAAACCTTCAACTTATTTATTCTGCAAGCTAAAGTGCACAATATTCAGGATTTCTAAAGTACACTGTATGCTGCAAATTATTATCAATTGTAACGTTTTATCAACTTATAAGTGCGGTTTTTGCACTATTCCTGTCAAATCGTACGGTGCTTGAATACTTTTTTGTACATGAAGGGTTCTTTGTAGTTGAAGACTAGCAGGAACTAACTCGCTCAGGTTATGGGGCCCATATTTCTCAAACCTTTCCCATTTTTTATTTCATACTTTTTTGTTAGTTTTAATCTTGTTAAAGAAATTTGGGGTTTAAAACCTCTGCAAGTTAGTTACTTCTTGTTTCTTCAAAGAAAGATGTTCCTTATATGTAAATATGTATAACTGTCAAAAGACACAAGACTTGTCCCATCTGGACAAAAATAAAATGTTGGAATAATCAAACATATAACATTACTATAGAGGTAATTTTACTTTTAATTTTCCATATATGATGTGAACATTTCTATACCCTCGGTAAAAACCAGATATAAAGACCTCATCGCAGACTCGCAATTTTAAGTGTACTTTGGTAAATAAGAAAGAAAACGTAAACTGGTATCTTTTATCACATGTATCATGTTTTAAGACCACGTGGAATCAGTTCTTGCGATCTTCGGTGAACCACAATTCCTATCTTTCTGTGTTTATCTCAAATTCATTACCCCAAATAAAATAAAACCCAATTGTTCTTTGTCTCAAGTGCATATAAATATAACAGCTTTCAAGTCTCTAGTTGTCATAAATATCACAACCATCCCTTTACCTGTTTGTAAAATAAATACGTGGATTTTGGAGGCATTTATGCTCACTGATCGTGTGAATGAGTAGTGAACCACGTGTTTTAAATAATTAACATAAAACGCATGAATCGACTTGGTAGTAGCTTTGTTGATTATATATATATGTATATAGTGCGTGTACTACAGTGTCTTTTATCGGTATATGCCGTGCACATGTCCACACAGCAGTCTGTGGGATTTACTTGCAGCTCAGGTAAGAAAACGTTTAGAACTTAGGGATGTGGCGGTCAATTATTTCTAACCCATCGTAACATGGTTAACCGCTGGACCCATGTCATATTGGCCTAATTTTATTTTAGTGAAAATTACAGCCTTTTGTTTCGTCATCTCAGCAAGATGGAAAGAAGTGAAAAACTTTAAATTATCTTTATATTACGTATATTCTTATTATCTTTTTGAATTTCTTTGTGCAAATAATTTTTTAAAACATATTCGCGGGGAATTTTATTTTTATTTATTTGTGAAATAAATGAAATTTTCTTTGACCAAGCATATCTATGTATCTTATAAAATTGTGAAATAATTAAACGTGATAAAATAGCACGGCTAATGCAGAGCTTTTGAGATGAAAATAGCAAACGTAATCCTTAAAATTTGGAAAAAAACATGAAAAATAGGAGAAACTAATCCTTCTCATTCGAAATAACTCTGCGTTAATACCCCCCTCTGCAACTGAACACGGATTTCTACCTTCAAATTTCTCAAAGATTAAGTCATGAATATTTTAAAATAGCAAAAATATCTTAATACCTCTTTCATTGAAAAACATTTCCATTAATAAGTGTAATGAAAATCCGCATCAAAGAGTTTTTTTTCTTTATAAATATTAAAGCAAATCTTTTTGTTATATTGCAGTTTTATTTATTTGTTTAGATATGTGATATAAAAGATCAAACAGAATATGAAATTGGAAAATAATATGCGTTACACATCTAAATTGATACACCATGTTACAAAGCTCTTTTTAGACGATTGTTTATATGATTTTAGTAAATAGGGAACATGTTATAGGCACTATATAGCTACAAACAATCCTGGTAGCCCATCCTATCAGGGTGACCAAAGCCAAATGTCAAAGTTGTTGATAATCTGAGATATATTTGTTTATCTATATACGGACCTGCTTCGATGAATATACCACGGTTTTTTTGTTTCAAACAAACCTACCTTCGCTGCGGTTTTTTACTTGTACTTTTATTTAAAAGTACAAGCGGTCAGAATATCGGTCAGTGACTCCATGACGTCACAACAGAGTGACTTATGTGGACTGACAGTGACCATACATAGCGGTCACAAGTTCAGTGCCCCTTTAAAATACAATCATTTCCAATATAAAGTCAGAAAAGAACTTAAAGGTACATAAACAGGTACTAATTTTCTATTTTGGTTGACTGGTGTCCAAAAAAAGACTGACCTTTAGCATTCTGGGCCGGTTTGTATTGTAGCGTACTGAGGACAGCAATGTGACGTTGGGTGACGGCAATACTATGATCTAGGTAGAGCCCGCAAACAGTTAACCATGATTGAAGATATCCAACACACCGTGTGACAGTTTAACATAATATTTTTTATTTCATATTTCAGGTGTATCTTCTGAACAAAATTAGCTGAATGCACGCAAGGAAAACACGTTAATTACCCCTACTTTATTTACATCTAAGTGAAGGCTTATTTAACACTCTCCACCAGTATCGGATTCCGACATGTTATCCAATTCCATAACACAGAAACCCTGGATTTTATGACGGGTGTCAAACAGAAATAAGCCACGGAATCCACAAACAAACGGACTATGGCTGGACTATTCCATATATTCCTAACCTTTGACCCGGTGTTACTAGCACTGATCGTCTTAGCTGCTGTGTTACTGTACAGGTACTTATAAATTATCTACTTTGTTTTGTACTGCACTGGTATAGTACTCTTTTACTTTGTACTGTACAGGTACTTATACTTTCTACTTTGTTTTGTGCTGTACTGGTTTTTATAAAATTATCTATTTCTACTTTTTTAACTGTACAATGTACTTAGTACTTATAAATTATCTATTACTCCTATACTTTGTACCGTGCATGTACTGATAAATTATCTATTACTCCTTTACTTTGTACCATAAGGTACTTATAAATTATCTATTACTCTTTTACTTTGTACTGTACTAGTACTTATAAAATATCTATTTAATACTCCTTCGTTTTGTTTCTTATAAATTATCATTCCTACTTTGTTGTATAAGTACAGATACAAATTATTTATTACTCCTTTATTTTGTACAGTAATGGTTCTTATATATTATCTTTAACTCATTTACTTTGTACTGAACAGGTACTTTATATATTCCTAGTTTATTTTGTACCGTACTGGTACTTATATAATATCTATTATTCCTTTACTTTGTACCGTGCAGGTACTTCTACAAAATCTATTCCTCCTTTGTACCTTAATGATAAATATAAATAAATATCTACTGGTACTAATAAATTATCTAGTACTGGTATTGATAAAATATCCACTGGTACTAATAAATTATCTATTACTCTTTTACTTTGTACTGTACAAGTACATGTACTTGTAAATTATCTATTATTCCTTTTTTTGTATCATACTGTTACTTATAAAATATCTATTACTCCTTTATTTCTTACTATATCGGCATAAAATCACTCTGAACATTTTTTTTATTTTAGTTACCTTAACAACTTATACACTGTGTTCAACAAACTTAACATACCGGGACCTAAACCTAAATGGATTTTTGGGAATCTTGGTGAATTTAGAGACAAGGTATTTATTTATATGTTACATATTGGCTTGTTTCACAGTGATGTAATATTATGGATGAGATGCCCTTAAAATAATGTACTGTATATTTCATCATTACTCTAAATCTGTGGAAGGCAATTGGTTAAATTTGTATAAAGTGTATTAAATCGATCACCATGTGTACTTTTTTGGAATGGTAGTAATTCCAGACTTTCCTAAAATAGTATCATTAAATCGTAATTGCAGTTTCCTCTAGAAGTGTTTAAAGAATGGAGATTGAAGTACGGAGATGTATTTGGGTGAGTTTATTTACGGCCATTCTTTGATCTTCCACCTCTAGAGGTCCTCTTAGTACACTGCATCCCTCTGAGTCCGCTTTCCTGGAACATCCAGGAAACTTAAATGTCCATCAGATTGTTTTGCAAGTCATTGATAATGCAGAAGACATTAGTTATCCTAGTGAGGATCGCTGTTATGTGGATATAGATTGCCTGTATCACTTCACACTCGGCTGGGTAATATATACAGAGCTGGGGATATGATGTACTTTAAATATGCCTGCTAATTTATTGACATAGAAACATGAATACATATATTTGACACAGTTTATTTTTGTCCGATTAAGAAATGAGACAAAAAACTCTCTCTCAGTATGGGGTAGAAAGTTTGGAGGGTAAACAAGGACTAAGATTTACAAGGGAAGCGTTCTCTGCTATTTCTCAGGACGATCTGGACCGCGGTCTATGCGATCTAGTGATCAATATATCGAGAGTACTTGAACAGTCTTATGTCAATAGAGCCAAAGTTCTCGTCCTGGCTCCCTGTTAGAGGACAGTAGAGACCCGCACTCTTACCAGAGGGGGCGTGGAATGCCTTGTTTATCTGCTATTGATACACTGCAGCAAGATCACGTGCAGAAATAAATATTAGGTTCTCATTCACAAACTTCTGAACCCTTTGCTTAACATATAAGATTGGCATGTAACGCAATGATATTGTAATATAAATGTTCAGCATTTAACCACAATAAAGCTAGCCCTTTTTATTGTCATATTCAGGTTTTTCGAGGGATTTAGACCAAGTATCGTAATCAGCGATCCTGAGATTGCAAAGCAAGTCCTAGTCAAGCATTTCGACAAATTCCACGTGCGACCGGTAAATTCTGATTCAATGAAATCTTATCTATTGAATTTATTAATTTTAGCGGCAAGCCATAACGATGAAGCAACTGAATTTTTTTTTCAGATTTACAATCCATTTGTGTATTACCCTGATAATCTGAGTTTACTTAATACATACGGGGACACCTGGAGGAGACAGCGCTCTGTAGTGGCATCAGCCTTCAAATCCGTAAATACAGCTCACGTAAGTCAGTATACCACCCACCCCAACATTTAAAGATGAAACAAATAGAAGTATATAATTTAAAGTTATTCTGTATTTTAAAAGGCTGCAGCTCGATAATCCATTAACTTAATTCATATAGGTTGTCAAATGTCTGAATCGAGTTGCCGATAAGTTGGTTAGCAAGCTTGAGGAAAGTGCAGCACACTGTCAAACCGGCTCTGATATCACAAGGTATGTATGCATCGTTTATTTATCTGCTTTTTATGTACGAAGAGTACATGTCCTCCACCTATTTATAATTCAGTTATCTGTGATAGCTATAAGAGTATCGTTAAACTCTCGACAGTTTCAATTGCATATCTTCGTAAGAGTGCTAGTCCACTATTTAGGGCAGGGTGTTGCCAATTTATAATTGGGCTTTGTGTTTCGATGCAGATGTTTATCTATTTGAGTCATTAAAGCACTTTCACTATGTAAACATGCACTTAAAGCCCCGTGTCAATGGCCTGGCCCCCCTCCATCACGGGCTGGTACGGGCGCACTCTAGCACGAGACGCGCCGTGCCCCCTGTTGTAGGCGTGCTTGCCTTACTACAGGGAACCTGTTGACTTTAGTCAATTTTGACACACGACAAGGGGCAAGGACATAAACAGTGCTTCTCATCAAACATAAAGCGACATAAACATAGGGAACTTCCTAGACGGCAAAGATGTCGCTGTGACAGATTGAACATTTAATGATTTAATCATTAAATGCTAGCTTGACATTTGAGGTTAAGAATATTTTACATTTCTGTCAAAGTGTAGAGGTCTGTGCCCTTTACATTTAAATTATTTTCATGTTAAAACATACGACATTTGAGAAATTTCCGCTTTGCAATACAATCATACCTTTAGTATCTATAAAGTATGTATTTATTCGTTTCTACAGCCTGATAGACAGATTCTCAATAGATGCTTTTGCCTATGCAGCTTTCAACTACAACGTCAACAGTTTGGATGACGAGAATGCCACACTTTATCGTTATATGAAGGCATTTAACCATTCCTCCTCGGCGGACAACCCAGCGGCAGGCTTAGCCAGTAAGTAGAGACGGCCATCCTGGATAACTCAACTCAAAGAACGATAATTATACCTTATCAAAGATTTTATTTAGCTTTTCCTTGGGCCAATAGGTCGATAATTTTAGGAGAATTTTTCTAAAATACAAAAAAATTGACCAAAATGTATTGGAATCTTTGAGATACATATTTCTGTGAATTTTCATAACTACATGACGTCTGTAAGAGTAAATAATAGCTGAGTCCGCGTAATTTTTGAACGGCCCTCGTACATTCAAAATCGTCACTTAAAAACTGTAGTCTTCATAGCTGCCAAGTAACTTCAAGATTATTGTGGTCTTTTGTAGGAGTTTATGAAAGCCTAACGCCATTTCTTAAAATATTTGACAAAGAGCACGCAATGTTGCATGAACTCCATGTTAAAGAAATCAGAAAGTGCATTCAGGAAGAGCGAATAAGGGTAAGCCATTTTAGTGCAACTTAACGTTTTATTTAGAAAAAAATCAGGTCACACGACCGCTCGTAATGGCGTTTTTCTTGCATATTAGCAGCTATCTGAGCAGGGTGTCAACAAAGCCGAGATGAACTTCCTCCAGCACCTAATGCACGGATCGTTCCAAGTTCAGGGAGCGGACGGTAAATGGTACAGACGAGGCCTCACGGACGAGGACATTGTAGCTCACCTGAATTCTCTGATAGGCGGGGGACTGGGGACCCTGAATGCCTCCATAGAATTCGTCATTCACATGCTGTCTGTCAACCCGTCATTACAACAAAGACTGTACGATCAAATTATAGAAGTTTGTGGAAACGAGGTACACGTTCTTCACATAAATTGACAAAATGTTTCTCAAAAGTTGCATATCTAGGACACCGAAAAGCATACAAATCTAAATCTTGTTTTTTAAAGGAAAACCCAACTGACCAACAGCTCAAAGACCTAGAGGATATGGACAAATTTATTTCTGAAACCCTTCGATTACTTCCCTGCGCCCCGGGGTATGTTTGTATTTGCCAATCATACAGAAAAATTTAAATCTGGCCGGTAATAAAACAATTGATTATATGAAGGGCATTTGTTATTGCAGAGTAGCCAGGTTGTGCACGGAGGATTGTGAAATTAATGGAATTCCATTCAAAAAAGGCTGGTTTGTAAGGATTATGTTGTGTACACTGTACACCGATGATTCCGTGTTCCCTAAAGCAGAGATTTTCGATCCGGAAAGGTAATTCCAGTTAACAACATTTTCTTCTCCTGGAAAAAGGAGAGTTATGTAAAGAAAGATTCTCACCTAAATAAAACAAATTTCATATCATAAAGCGATTTTGTATGTTAGATATATGATCAACCAGTCCCTTAAAATAAATATCAAATTTATCCACAGATTTTCCACAACAGAAAAGGAGAAGAGACATCCGTATGCGTTCCTTCCATATGGTCAGGGACCGCGCATGTGTCCCGGGTATAATATTGCACTGTACCAAACAAAAGCAACATTAGTCAAGATCCTTAGGAAGTTTATCATTGAAAGTTGTCCAAATACAGAGGTACCATATATACATTTCCCCATTCTACTTTTCTTTATGAAGCTTTATTCAACTCATTATAGGTTCAGAGAATTAAAATATTCTTATAATAATTGCAGGACCCCCTTCCAACTGCCCTGAGACCGATGTTGTGTCCTAAAAACGGTGTGTTCATAAAACTTAGAGATCGTATTCAAACTCAGTGATGAACTACAATTGTTAAAATGAACAAAACGACAAAATCATGGCAATACAGGCGTGCTTGTATTTGGGCAGCCCATGTCCTTCGAAGGAGCTCGACGCATTAGACATGGACAGGTCCCACTCCGATTTCCTGATCAATATTCACCAAGAGAATTATACTCAAGTTTTCATTCATCCAAAACCCAGTTGTTTTGATGATTGACACATAAGTCCTCAGTGTGTTATAAATGCTCATGACTGTCTGTCTGTGTGAAGTGAATATAACGCCATTTTCTCCATGGAGATAATGCAGAACTTTGTACGTTGTTACCACGTAGGGTAACTACTTTGACTCAGATCCACGAAGTCGTATTATACGACAGATGTTGAGAGGGACCAGTCATACTGAATAGAAATCCATTGACATGTGTATGGTACATATGATTTATGTATTATTCAGACTTCATTATCATGATGTTCTTGTTTTCATGATTTCAATGATTGTACATACGTCAAGATGATATTTATTTGTTCAATAATTTGTTATGCATGCATATATTTAAGTGCAATTTAAATCGAAATTAAATGTTTTGTTAAACGTTATTGAAATTTTTTATCATCTATATGCTGGAACGAACAAAAATGCAAATCTATGCAAATAATAGTACGAAGTTTTACAAAAAGCGTGAACCCAGAATCCACAGGTGATCAACTTCTGCTCCTTCATACTGGTGTGTGCATACGATTGTATTTCATCAAAATATAGTCTAATCGATATATGGAAGCAAGTGCATTCATCATGGATACGTTTGCACAAAGATGGTAAATGTAGAATTCTAGGCTAATACCAGGTATTCTGCCTTTTTTAAATAAGTTTAACCTGTATTATGATGTATAAGAGTAACATAGTAAATTTCATTAAACCTCGACTTCTAAACTACAAACAGTCCTCACATGCAAGTTCCAGTAAATGTTCCATTAAGGCTCTTTTTTTACCCCGCACAAAAACGTTAATAAAGAAACAGTAGAAGAGGATCAGGTGCCATGGAGGGAAGAACATCCCCTGACGACCGATCACACCCGCTGTGTGCTCCTTGTCAGATTGGGAAATAACGGGAAAATCCTTTTGTAAATAATGACCTAACAATTGGTATGAAAAAAGTGAGTCAGCATCTGACTTAATGAAATGTAATAAAATGTATTAAACTCAAAATTTTCCACCTCCGATGTTTTGGAGGTCCGTGTTTGCTCCGCTCCTATTAAGTTCAAATACGATTCGTTATCTCCACCAATTTTAATTCTGTATGTAATGAAACATAAATAGATTGGGCAACAGGCATTGCCTATGTACTAGTAAGCTCTCTCCAACAGAGGAAACTCAGGACGACTGTACAACAACATATTTGAGGAGAAGTGGGTTTTAAAAATCAAAGGAACTTTTTAAAAAGTGTTCTAAAAGTTTGTAGGAATTCCCTTTGGTACAAATTGAGTCCTTTTATTCAAAGCTTATTCATATGAAGCATATTTTATATAAAAACAAGCTTATTCGGAGGAAATGTGTCCCCCGCTGAAGGAAGAAGAGTATGTGCGGATCTAGAAGGGGAGGGGGGCTTAAAGAAGGGAAGGCGGGGTCATAGGGAGTTATGGAATAAAATTTGATTGCAAAAGCTCAAACTCTTCTTGAGATAACGACCGGAAATGAAAGTCTTAGACATAAAATGAATGTCTGAATTTACGAACTTTACCTTTGACCTTTTGACCTCAAAATATATAGGGTCTTCTCCAGGAAGCTGTGGTATAAAATGTCCTTTTTTAAATCTCATGGCTTATGGAGATATCGTGTGAAACAAAAGTATACAGAAAGAACTACAGACAGACGGACGGACAGACTTACAGACGGAGGGACCAATATTGACTTTTGAACTTGATTGATGGTCTTTATATCTTCAAAATTTATCCTGCCCTTTAGAAGAATACATTTTAAAACAATACATTTAAACATGCAAACTTTATTTGAATGAAAATGGAAATTTATCAAAGTAACAAAAATTGGAGATTGAAAAAAAAATACCGGATACTATTCCACACCGATTATTTGATAATATCCGAATTCTTAAAATTTTAATATTTGCGGACACTGTTTCTAGACATACATTGAATTAATTAACACATTTTCATGCGGAAAAGACATAAGGATAAGATACAGGTATGTGACAAATCACTTGTATACCCCAGATATTAGGCTAGTTTAACGGCCTGCAAAAATTATTTCCCATAGTTCTTGGTCGTTGCAAAAGTCACGTGAATAAATGTTCACTGGGGCATTCCCGGGTGAGTTGTCGTGTTAGTAACACGTACATTAGAGCGAAGCCGAGTTTGCTACACGGGCAGCATATTTTGCAGAATGTCCAGTACCTCAGTTCAAAAGGCATAGAGAGCAGACCGTGGTATATATTTTGTACTTCTGAATCATACTTAGCGTGTATTTTGTAAGTATTCTTGTTTATCGTTTGACCTAACTTTAACACTGACTATCATTCACTTTCTGACTAACTTGTGTGAGCAGTCAAGTGTATCGGTAGCGAAAGTTTAAATACCCAGTTCTTTCATTGTCGACTTATTATATCCCTCGCTTGAAAAGTGGGAGGGTATACTGTAATCGGTATGTCCGTCCGTCCGTCTTTACGTCCGTCAGTCTGTACGTCCGTCCGTCTGTTACGCTTTGGGGTACCCATCTCTTATCCGTAACTCCTCTTATACCACTGAGTGAAATTTAATGAAATTTTCATAGAATCTTTATTACATATTGCCATTGTGCACCCCCTATTTTACTTTTTGATCCGACACATATTTTGGGTTTCCCAGCCACAGCAAAACATGGACTTTGCCATTATAACCATATGGGAGGCGGGGGGTGGGGTATCATTTAGTGAGCTCTAGTTTTGTGTCACTTTTGAGTGTTTCTTCAGGCATTTTTTGTGTTCGATATTTTTTTTGGTAAATTCTTTAAAGTATTGGGCGGGAGTGAATAGCCGGAAGTGGTTGCTATATTGTTTTGAATGTACAATACAATGTACAATACAATGAATACTTTTTATCTTAACTTGTTTACTAAATCATTTAGAAAGACATATAGTCATATACCATTACTTTATCTAAATATAATATCACTAATTGTGCAATTATAGCGAGCTCTTAAAGCAACGCCTGGACGAAGAGAAAAAAACGGACTACTGCGACAGAATTTTTTGTCAAAGTAATTTTGACCCACAATGCATCGCAACGTACACAAAAGCTAAAGCAACGTTCTCGCGAGAATAACAACAAAAGTTAAACGAATAATGAACTTATTGCAGAGAAATAGTCAATAAAACGGTTCTTCACTAATCAGCCCTGTTCAGGCTTCGGTTTGGTAAAGCAACACGCATACGACGTCATGTGACGTCCGTCCTAGACGCACCGAATGTCACGTGCGGTTTGACGAGCCTGATCTAAATGAAAACTGAAGAAGTATCTGCGCTCGCCCTAACGATCGCACCGTCAACATAATAATGTGTTACGTAAATTGTACCGTTATGACATTGGAGAAGTACGTAGCTGAGTGAGCATAGGATTCTATAGATGGAATAAATGCAAGCTTTTTGAGGGTGATCGTCTCCTTTCCATTACATCCTGGACCACAGTCCCTGAAGCGATGGGACGATTGATGAACCTAAGCAGAAACTGGTGTATTTCGATTCAGATAAGTCGATCTGAAAGGAATTAAAACTTTGAGCTCATGAGATTGTGGCAAAGCTAGATATACAGAACTATACAAGTGAACATTTACGGGCAACAGTATAGATTATTAAAAGATATTATATACAGAAAATAACATTAAATAGTCTGTCTGTCTGTCAAATTATAAAGCTTTATTGTTTTTTTTTCCGTTCAAGTGAAAGAGCAAGTGTGTGCGAATGTGAGTGTGATTATGTAAATATATATTTCTTTCTCTTTTAATTAAATTTCTATAAATTTGAACTATCTTGAGTGTTATTTGGAGATTGCCTGGCTTAACCACAAGGTATATCTATTTAAAGAAAGGCATTTGCCTTCCACAAAACCTTGAAATTCACCATAATTTGGTCTATTACCAATATATTGGTAGTGTCAAAAATTTGTGTTGACTGAAATTTTATAATTGATACTTACTCAGAAATGAAAAATGTTAAAGAAACTACGATTTTCCTCGGGGAGAATTATTTTAAAAAAGTCTATATCAATATCAAGATATTGTTTAAGTAATTGATACATATTCATTTTTTAAAATGGAAGTTGCTCTGAAGTGGTATAAATTATAAAATATGATTTATTAATTAATTGAACAAAATGGAGATAATATCAAGGAACAGAAGGAAATGTCAGTCTTTCCACTGAGGATATAGCAGGCACGTAGCATCGTTTTTGAAAGTGGGGGGGCCAACCTGAGAAATTTTTTTTTTACTTACCTGAAAAAGTTGACAAGCCAAAAAAAAAAAAACAAAACAAAAAAAAAAAAAGAAACATTAAAAGTTGCCCACTTTTTTTCAAGACCAACTATCTTTTTCTTTATAACACTACACTGTGCTGAAATGTGGGGGGGGGCAACCTTCCTTTCGGTAAACATTTTCTATAGTAAAGGTAATGTCGGCAGAAAAAGTGGGGGGGGCAATAGGATCTAAATTGGCTAGACTGTAACTATATGTATTGTAAAAAAACATATTATATATGGTTGCCTTGTTACAATACTCATCAATTAATAAATTTTTATGTCATTTTTTAAATAAATCAAACAGAAAATGCTTCATTTTTACCAATAATTACAGAGCATTATGTATGGTGTCATTCCTTCCGGGTCAGCTTGATTTATTGTAGTAGCGTTTGTGTTAAAAGAGAATAATCAAGTTTGTAATGACACTTTCCCCCATATATTTAGAACTGCAGTTTATGAAAATAAGCTGTTCTTATTAAAATAAAAATCACTGTGGTCCAATTGTCCCTAGTTTTCACATGACTTTAAAAATGCTTTTTATAGTCTTTCGTTTATTCAATTATTGCGTCTCGTAATTAGCAGACGTGATTTTATATATATATGAAGAAGATTTTATTTTATTCAAAATCTTCTACATAAAAAAGGAATTAACTCTTGTTATGGTCTTCAATGAAGAATTTAGATATATTGATGCCTATTTATCAATTAACATTATTCATTATAATTCCTATGTGGATTCGATAAATCCCTTTGAATTCGATTGAAATAAAAGATACCACAATGTCTGACGCATCTTTTTTCATATCTACTAGCTGAAATCCCGCGCAAGCGCGGGGGAAATTAATTTTTTTTTTACTGCTAAAAGAACTATTCCAAAAACTATTTTTCAGATTCTATTGAAAGTTTATAAGTTTATTACACAGGAATATAGTATGACGATATACTTCAAAGTCCCGCAATTAGTTTAGGAACAGAAAGAGATAATTATAAGAAATATATTTCCTAATATTTTTGGGATTTTTTTTACTTCTACAAATATCAATTTCATTAAAGGCCTCTTCTTACATGTTATAAAGCAACTTTATTATGTTAC